CCGCCACTGCAGGACAGCGCCGGCAGCGCGTCCCGGCCGTTCAAAAAGCCGAGGAGAGCATCGCGAGTTGGCGCGACGCGCTACAGATGGCGCCAGCTGTGTCACGTTTTGCGCCTCGCCGCGCGTCGACCGCGGAGAGGCTGAGAGAATTTAAAAAAAAAATGCGAAAAGCAAAGCGCCGCGCTCCGCGGCTCCCCGCCTTCTACAACGGCAAGCCGGCAAGCTACTCGTAGCTTGCCGAACGAAAGCGGGAAAGAGAGAGAAAATAAAAAAAGCGAAAAGCAAAGCGGCGCAGCGGCATGGGGGCGGGGCCTCGTTGGCATTCCGGCTGTGTACCTCTGGCTGTGCTTTCTTCCTCCCACTGCTCCCACCCCGCTGTCGATCAGTCTCTCTTCCTCAGCGAACCCGTGATGCGTTCTTCGGAGTAAGAAATAAAGTCTTGTTTTTGACATCCTACTATCTACAATATTTATTAATTGGTGAAAATAGCAAAATGAAGCCTGGAGCTACAAAAGGTACGTCCGGTGACGATTTTTTGGTGGCAGTCCAGATATAACGATCACCGGTTATAACGATCATATTTTTAGGTTTTCTCGATATCGTTATAAGTGGACTGCACTGTATTAGGCTGCAACCCAATGCTATGCCTTCCTCCTTGAGCGTATCTCGGCACATCCCTCTCCCTCTCTGCGACGTAATCCAGACAGAACTGGACAAACTCGATGCCGAGGACGGGATTCGTTGAGTGGACACACCCACTGACTGGTGTGCTGGGCTGATTGTCATCCCCTAGGTCTCTTGCGGTTATAGGCAGTGCTTAGACTTGACTCACCTCAATAAGGTGATTCTTGGAGAGAGTCACGCGCTCCCTACAGTGCAAAAATGTGTCAGTTCGCTTGGAGAGGCTACAGTCAAGCATCCACCGAGTCAAGCTGTTCTCAGAGTCCCAAGAATTGACCACGTTCATAACCATGTTTGGACGCTATTGTTTTCTAGGGCTGTCGTTTGGGATCACGCCTGCACAGGAGTACTTCCAGTCACAGATGTCCCGAATCCTGGAAGGCCAAGCGGGTGTTGCGAACATGATATGATCTAGAAGGGGCTGTTAGCACTAGTCATGGGACGCAGCAATTTTTTTTCAAGTACATATGCATGTATATGCCGCGTAATTCCAAGTACTAATAAGGTCACTGACTTCTGAAAACATATTTGGCAATCTTTTGGTGCACTGTGTGATATTTTTGCAGCCCTAAGAAACAGCAAACAAAACCCTACGCCAGTTTCTTTTTCCCCACTCACACTGTTACTGCTTTTCGAATCTCCCGAATTTGAAATTCGCCAGATTGGCAGATCGACATTTGAGTTTGGAGAGTTTGTGGAAGGATTTTGAAAGTGCTGCAAATGAATGTGGACTTCATCATTGCTTGCATAGTGGGTTTGTTCAAATACTGTTTTTATTAAAATAGCATTGCACGTCTTCATTGTCGACAATTTATGTGATGTTTAATGATTTGTACATAATGTTTTCTTTTGTGAATGTGAGCTTTTTTTTTTATACTGCCCCACATTCGAGATTTTGTGATAAGAAATTAAAATATGTCTTTTTTTCATAACCTGCCCTGACTTTTGGATTTTCGAGCTCGAAATGTAATATTTTGCTGCTCCAAAAATCGCTCTAAAATGTATTTCAGCTGCTGCACCCCTGCGTCATGCAATCTGGGCAATGGTTACCCACCTGGGGCAGGATGGGGTGTATGCCTTCCCTACGAAGACTGTCTTTTTTTTTTAATGTAGTTGAGGCCCCACGTTGTAGACATTTGTGCGGGAGATGGCTACAGTTCACATTCTCGGCCTCAGCTGTTTGTCTAGGGCAGCTTCACCTGCCACGGCCAGCAGCATCTGCTAGCCTCCAGGCCGGACTACCACCCACAGGACACGCCATGGGCCCACACGCGCTCTTTGCCTTGTTCGCTTTCCTTTGATGGTCTCAAATGCATCGCAATACAATGTATTGCCTAAAAGGGGTCCTGCAATACTTTTTGAGTATGGTCAGAAAATACGGTTGATCGGTAGTCAAGGCACCCGAGAACACACGCGCCAAGTAATATAGTACAGTACGCAGCCTGGAAATCGCTATGAGTTCTCAAAGGCAACTAAATACCGCTTTTTTCTTCTTCTCGGAAAATGATGCTATACACTAAAGAATCTATGCGTAATAGGTCTAAGTGTCACGCCCTTGGCTGATTTGAGCATGGCACACTAAGGGGGTCACTGGGGCAAGAAGGCCATGACATGTTCACGCATGCTTGCATGATTGCACTGAAAAGCCGCACGTTTGAAGAAAAGAAGTGCTCAAGGTCGCGAGGCATGCGTTGTGCACCTCCTTTTCCCGTACCATCCCTCCCTGCTTAGCTCCCCGTGCTTTCGTTGTGGTGAGAGAAGAGGAATTAATTGCAGCGTGTGACAAATATTTCTAACTCTGCTCGTACTGGACAGATTCTAAAAAATTTTGCAGCAGCCAGTTCATGAGGCAATCAGCTCCTTTAGTGAATCCATTCCATGGCCACAAGGAGGAGTGTTCCGGGGCTACATGTATGCATACACTCAAACCCCAATACAACAAAGCTGCATCTCACACGAAAATAAGTTTGTTACATTCAAAAATTTATGATAAAGGTATATCTTAACACTATGCCTATTGCCAGACTATTTTTCATTTAATTGATGATTGATCGATATGTGGGGTTTAACGCCTCAAAACCACTATATGATTATGAGAGACGCCGTAGTGGAGGGCTCTGGAAATTTCGACCGCCTGGGGTTTTTTAACGTGCACCCAAATCTGAGTACACGGGCCTACAACATTTCCGCCTCCGTCGGAAATGCAACCGCTGCAGCCAGAATTCGATCCCGCGACCTGCGAGTGAGCAGCCAAGTACCTTAGCCGTTAGACCACCGCGGCAGGGCTATTTTTCATTTCGTTCGTTATAACCGATATTTTGTTATATCGGGGTTCGTTATATCGAGGATTGAGTGTACCTCAAGATTTTGCCACCATGTGGTAATAACTGTCCAGCTTTTGTCAGGACCTTATATTTCTCCCACAGACAGCATTTGCTGCAAAATTTGGTCCAAACTGACATGGAAAAACGTTTGGTGCCCTCATGCAACGCATTATATATATGAGCACTCTTGTAAGAGTGCTGCGGTTAAAAACTGGTGACGTGCATCTCATGAAGTCTCATGAAGTCTTCGTGTCACCTGAAAATCGTATAATGAAAGCAGGCAAAAATCGCTCAAAAGTGAACCTAGTTGTGGTTGGAGGAATTTCCAAGTGTTTGGTGATTGCACTTTGTGATGCATGACACATACAGTAGACTCCCGTTAGTACGAAGTTCAGGGGAACCGCAAAAACTCGGAGTTAGGTCACAATTGAGCGAAATTCACAAGCAGCTGCACTTTCATTGTTTCAAACATGGCAGTTCTTTAGTGAAATAGTCTGTCATCTTTTCTTGCCGAACCTGACTGCGGCCGGCAAGTTTTCCAAGCACTACACAGGTCAAAGTGCTTCTTTAGCATTGTCTTCTTCAACAAAACATAAAAACTACAGCGCAAGAGCAAGACCCGCAGCAACATCGGTAGTCCTAGGTAGTGGTTCGTTCCTATGTTGTCCACTGACCTAATCATCTGCACAGTTGTTTTTTTCATTAGTAGACCGCATGTATGGACGTTGCGGCCTACGGCAACAAATTTTTCAAAAGGGACGTTTATAAGAATGGCCCCAAAACGATTGTTGTCGAGTCCTGGTCAACATCTTTTAGGATTTTCGATTTTCGTTGCCAGGTCAAGCGTTCAGTAGGGGTCACGAGTTGCCATTGTCAAATGTCGCACTCTTCTAACTTCAACCAAGCTTCAATTCAGCGCGCAGCTGAAGCACATGACATGTCGCAATGAAAGAACTAGTTGGCTGATGCGATTAATACGATAACCTGGCATTGACTAAGCAAGATGGCCGCTTTAGTGAACCGTGGCGCTGCGGGCGATGGCGACAACAGTGCGGTCCAACAGCTGTCTTGGTGACCTTGGCACTTGAAATCCCTATTTTATTGAAAAATTACGGTTACCTCGAGGCTTTCGAGTGAAAAATAACTTCTAATTAACCAACATTATGGGCTTTAACTTTCTTTTATCAAGCATTTTTTCTATAGGCATGCATGCGAAATCGGTGGGACCACTTGTTGGTATTTAATTAATCAAAAATCCCAATTAAGCAACTTCTAATTATTGGGAGTCGACGTTAGCAACAAAAGCAGCTTGGCTGTTCATAAGTGACATGCTTCTAAAACTCTAAATTATGCAACATTTAAAATAAGCCATGTGCAAGAATAAAATGCACTTAAAGCAAGCAGCTATCTTTCCCAGCATCTGAACTTGCCACATTATAACTAATAAGTAATAAGTTTATGGGTCGCCTATAGACGGCAGGGTTTCAGGCTGTGGCTAGTCTGGAGACCCCTCAGGAAAGAGACCAAGACAGACTAGCAGCAATCTTTACTCCATTGAGTCTTGGCTGCAACTACCCGCTGCCAGCGGCTGCTAACCACGTGTTATGAGCACACACACGATCATCATTCTCTTCTTGTATGAGCGCTCGATGTCTCCGAGTGCTCCCATAAATCTTAGCTGCGTGGAAGCTAGCAAAGACTCCGGTGCTGCGCTAAAAGAAGTGCTTGCTTACCTGCCACTTGCTTTACATAAAGCAAGACAGCACGTCAGAGTGCACTCCTCCTTTGCATTAGATGGTATCAGGTTGGCGGGACTCGAGGTGTACTGCAGGCTAGGGGCTCTGCTTGACCGACAGTGACTTGTGAGAATTTGCGCAACTGTGTTACATAGACGTTCATGATGTGAGAAGGCACAGTGGCATATTATTTCTTGTCTCTCAGGCTGTAGCAGCTCTTTTTGGCAAATTGTGAGAGATCCTTTTTCTTGCCATGCAGCTACAGAAGCTGTTGCTTATGGACCCAACCAAGCGGATTACATCGGAGCAGGCCATGCAGGACCCTTACTTCTTGGAGGACCCTGTGCCCACCCAAGAGTAAGAATGAATGATCATATGATGGCCCTTTCTCTAGAAAACATCACTGTTGAGGTCCAACTTTAAAAACACATGGCATTGAATGCGGTGTGGACAGATGTGCTCTTCCCGGGAAGTCTTTCACATCGTCTTCATACATTGCTGTATATGGGGCAAATGCTGCCACTTCAAAGAAGCGCTTCAACACAAGCTGTTCGAAGTGAGCCATGTCCAGCGCAGTGCTGTGGCGATTACAGTGCTTAGCTGCTGACCCGAAAATTGCAGGTCTGATTACGGCTGTGGCTGTCACATTTCCACGATGGTGAAATGGTAGAGGCCCGTGTACTGTGTGATGTGGTAACGTGATAAAAATATCCAGAGCCCTCCCCTATGGTGTACCTCATAATCATACCATGGTTTTGGGATATAGAGCCTCAGATATTATTATTATTATTATTATTATTATTATTATTATTATTATTATTATTATTATTATTATTATTATTATTATTATAGTTGTTGCAGGACAGTGGCTTTCAATAGGTAGTGCCGCGTGAAGGATGGAGTCACAGGGCAACCAACAAATTCCCCATTACACTGTAACACTTAGCACAAACTGCGTCTGCAGTGTTTGAGAAGTTTAAGGGCTGCCGTAGATCATTTTGTTAATATTACGTCCACAGCGCGAACATTGCAGATTTATTCTGGAACCGACGTGGCCACTAAAGATAGCGCTGGAATATTCGACGGCACATTTATAAATGTCAACATGCTTCAGTGCTTGGCAGTTGACCAATGGCCCTCACTTAGTTTGCCTCTGACAGTGCCAGTGTGCATCGCTGTAATCTGGCCATTCATTTACCGGTCACAAGTTCAGTTCAAACAAACACTTTCATTTTTGACAAGCCATTTCTTCCTTTGTCAGTGGCTCAACCCCATGACAATGTACAGTGAATTGTCATCAATTCGAACTCGGTTATTTGAGAATTCTGCTTAATTCAAAGGATTTCTGTGGTCCTGTACAGTAAAAGCTCGTTTATCTGGACCTCGTTAACTCGAAAATTCAGTTAACTTGGACTCGCGGCGCGGTCCCGGCAAAACTGAGTATATTTCAATGAGATCAAATGCTCATTAATTCGGAGGGATTTAGCCGCGCACCGGTTATCTCGGACAACTCCGGAGAGGGCTATCGGGACTCCAAAGTCGCGCGATCTCGGCTGCTTGTAGGCTCAAGCACCGCTTGCCGTAACCGACGGCAGAACCGGAGTTTTGGAGAAACCGAAACCGAGCGAACTGCAGCAAAATATGACCATTATGATAGTGAATGAGGGGGAAGTGGCTAGGTGGCGCTAGTCACCACCCGGCGGAAGTACCACACCAAATCAGGGAGTACAAGGTGATATGGGATGGACATCATATGAGGGCAGGGAAGCTAGCAGCAAGATAAAATTTGAGAAGCGATTGAGAGAAATGAAGGAGGAGCGTTGGGCTAGGAAGGTTTTCAGCTACTTGTACATGAAGAACGTCGAAACAAAATGGAGGAAGCGAACCAGGAAGTTGACTGGTAAATACTTAGAAAACAGCAGGTGGCCAAACCAAAAAGAACTATCGGTTAAGAAGAAACTGAAGGAAACGGAGACTGACATGTGGAAAATGGGCATGATTAAGAAGTCCGCACTAGAGGTCTATCGAACTTTTAAGCAGGAAATTGCCAAGGAAAGGATCTATGATAATACTCGGGGTAGTTCTCTACTGTTTGAGGCAAGGACGGGAGTACTGCGAACTAAGACATATCGGGCCAAATACGAAGGGGTAGACACAGTATGCAGTGCGTGTGGAGAGGAAGAAGAAACTGCCGAACACTTGATAATGTTCTGTAAAGGGCTTCACCCTATAGTTCAGGATGATGGCGCAGAGTTTTTCAAAGCACTGGGGTTTAGGGACTGGGAGGGCAAAATAGACTTTAAGCAAGTAGACTTAACTAGAAGGAGGTTATCTGATTGGTGGCTAAAGTCAAGGCACGAGTGAAAATTAAACTTTTCACTGCAAAGTACGAATCCTCAAACTCACTTTCTAAGGAAAAAATAAATAAATATAGTTTTGAGTTCATTAAGTATTACGGCTTGGTGGCGCTAGCCACCACCCGATCTAAAGGGTACAGCCATATCCATCCATCCATCCATCGGAAGCGCTTGGACCACCGGCACGTCCAGTGACTAACAGCTGCTTGCTACGCCCATGCTACGCCTACTGGTGTACTTCGTGTCTTGGTTCTTTTTGTTGTGACTTCGTGTGTTGCGGCTGTGTTTGTGCGCGTTGCCGCCGCCGTCGCGCTTCATGGCGACCGTCACAGGAGTTAAGCGGCCACAGCAGCCAGCAAATGATCTTGAAAGGTCATGATATTGAAAGACGTGGACACAGGTGTTTCTCGACAGGAGATAATGAAAAAGTACAATGTTAAAAGAAGCACCTTAAGCGACTACGTGAAGAACAAAGAAAAAATTTTCGAGGCGTTTGACAGCGGCAAATTCACCGGAAAACGAAAACGACTAAGGACGGCAGCACATTTGAAGCTGGAAGACGCGCTTCTGCGGTGGATAACAGACATGCAGAACAGCCAGCTTCCCTTGAGTGGACCGTTGATCTGTCAGCAAGCTGAAAGGTACCCACTGAGAATGAACATCGAATCTTTCAGTGCGTCTGAATGCTGGTTTGCCGGCTTTAGAGAAAGGCAACGGTTAGTCTTTCAAAACGTGTACGGGGAAAAAGCAACAGTGGATGAACGTCGTATTGCTGACTGGACGACAACTGAGCTCCCCCAGTATCTGGCTCATTATGAGCCTGTCAACGTCTTCAATGCCGACGAAACGGCTCTCTTTTTTAAAGCCTTTCTGGACAAAACGATCATGTTCAAGGGCGACCCTTGCGTTGGAGCGAAGAGGAGCAAAGAAAGGATCACTGTGCTTCTCGCTTCAAATATGTCGGGCACCGAGCGCCTGCCACTGCTAGTCATCGGTAAGGCACGTAATCCAAGGTGTTTCAAGAACATTCACCACTTTCCTGTGCAATATCGCGCCAACAAAAAGGCCTGGATGACTTCGGATATTTTCCAAGCTTGGCTGCCAACTCGACCGCCACTTCTTCGCTAACAAGCGCAAGGTTTTACTTCTAGTTGACAACTGCTGGGCTCATACCAGAGTGACAGGGCTGGAGTGCATCGAACTTGTATTTCTACCTGCAAACACGACGGCTGCTCTGCAGCCACTGGATCATGGGATGATTCAGCACGTAAAAAGCGGGTACAGAAAGCATGTGCTGGAACGGATCCTGCTGTGCAAGGAAGCAGGGCGAGAATATGACGTGACTCTCCTGACAACAATTCACATTTTGGCTCATGTCTGGAGCGAAACACTGCTCGCGGTCATTGCGAATTCTTTCCGGCACAGCGGCTTTGTCTGCCCTCACGACTCAGATATTCCTCCAGAGGCCACTCCAGAGGACACCCGCGAGCCCACTGGAAATATGGACGACGAGGTGAATTACACACGTTTTGACTCTCTCCTTCTTAGTGGCGTCCAGATTTTAGACTATGTTTCTATAGACTATCATGTTGCCGTTGCTGGTCCGCTGACTGACGATGATATATTATCGGAAGTGCTTGAGGAGGACCAAAATCACTGTTCCGAAGATGATGGCCAGGATGAGCTGACGCGACGTCACCGCACCATGCAGGAGGCAGCCGAAGCCCTCGCTGTCCTCGAGGAGTTCTGCGTTTGTTCTCGCGACAGTGAACGTGCGCACCATCACCTGATGGGATTAAAAAAGATTGCTCTGTCAGAAATTCCGATGGAGAAGCAAGCAAAAATAATGCTTTTTTTTAAATAAATAAAGGTTTGTCTGTGCCGTGTACATTTTTCTTTTGTTTTCATGGTCGATTCGATAATTCGGAATTCGGTTAACTCGGACATTTTCTCTGGTCCCATCAGATCCGAGTTAACGAGCTTTTACCGATGTAAGTTTGAGTGGATAATTTGAAGTGGCAGTCACAAACAGTCCAGTTCAACTGAAAATTTTGGGTGCCATGTGGCGATTCCCTATCCCGACTTTGCCACAATTACGCAGATACAATGGTCTTTAAAGTCACACAGAAATGCAGTTAAACGATAATAATGAGTGGGGACCAGTCCGGTTAATTCGAAAATTTGTGGTGCCGTGTGGAAATTCCCGATTTCGCCGCAAATCCGCAGATATGATAGTTTTTAAGAGCCACAAGGCAATGCAGTAACGCAATAATTGGGTAAAAAAAATGGGTAAAAAAAAGGCGTCTTGTGGCAAGTTGAAATGTGTGCCTGCAAGAAAAATGGGCTTCACTGCAGCAGAGTGGTCACATGCAGACGGCATGTCACATGTTTCTCACAACGTCAGCACATTGTGATTTACTCACTCTTTTTGGGAATATGAAGAAAAAAATAAAGGTAAGTTTTATTGAATTCACTATATATGCGAACGTCCGATTGGTGGTTGCCCAGCAATTTGTGCACTCGCGCTGCTGGCAGAGTTCTTGGATACAAGGATTACTTCAAAAACTCAGTTTGACGCTTCAGGAATCATGTTTTCTATCCAAAACATATAGCTTATTTCGCCATACTTTTTGAATTCTTCATTTCACCAGAAATTTGGGTGGACGGTCGCATCATGATGCGCTGACGCTGCGAGGAGCAGGTGACATGCTGCTTACGTGTCATCGCTGTTTTGCAGTGAAGCACGTCATCCTTTCAGCAGGTGCACATTTCAATTGACCATGACACCTTCTTTTTTTTTTTTTCTTGCACGGGCAGCAGTGAAGCCCTCTGTTCCCTCGGGTTAGCGGAAAAGTCGGGACCAGGTTTTTCTGGAAACCCTTGGAGCTGGAAACTAGTTGGCACAGCAAACTATCACCTCTTATTACTTTATATAGTTCAAAGCTTCTTGCATACTACGTATTGTATGTTGTAGTAATTGGAAAAGCTGCTTGATTCGAA